TGGCAGCGTAGGAGAATCAAACAATGTTCTTACATTGGGACGCCAGTAGAAAACAAAATATCCATATAACCTGCATTATTGCCAGTCCGCCTAGCACCGTGTAAACTCTCATGAGGATTAACTTTGGCGCACTTTTATCACGAGTGTGCCAACAGGCTCCAAGTCTGGCAAGCATAACGTGGAGAACAGGTCTTTGAGTAGAATGGCATTACCTGTGCCTCCGTTACTCTAATTAGTGACTGTCGCTGCTGATGGGTTGGAGTGAAAATTCAGAACTTCGAGCCCATGAACATCTCGATTCAGCTTTCGCATTTTCCCTTTTTTCTACGGACTGGCCTTTAAAACTACTGCATACTGTTCCAGGCGCGCTGAACTCACAGTCTGACCGCCTGCCACAGGCGCAAATGACAGTTCGGCCATCGATTTCGATTATGTCCACCGTATGCCCCACAGCATTATGGGATCAGGGACAGTGACTTGCGCAGGGGTTTATAGTGCCAGTAGACTTGCGCTGCATCTACCTGCACTCTGTCCTCCTCCCCCGCCTGAGCCCGGTGTCAAGACAGAGTCAAGAAGACCGGAGACGAGGGAGGCCGCAGGTGGATGGCTCGGACGGATCCTCACCTTGGCGTTCCACCACACCCCCTGGTCCACGCAACAAATAACCAGGATTTCAACCAACACAACAGAGATTGGAGGCTGGCACGACCGAAGCCGCACCTAGGCGTGCCGCCAACGCCTGGCTCGGATCCCACACTGTGGTGGGAGTGCCATAAAGGCCACATTAAAAAGGAGTCATTGCAGCCTGACTCTCAGACCGCCTCCCGTCAAGGAGGAGGTCCAAGATACCCCGTCAGTTGGCAACCTTCCAAGCCACGGCTGTTAGCGCACCGTGATAGCTTCCAGCGCGTCAGATTGTATATAGTGAGGAGAAAGTGCGCTGAGTCGTCGACCTCACTCTCCCTTCCCACTTCCACACCCCAGCCGCTGTCCGAGCCGGTCAGCAAACTGGAGTGGGAAATGGGCGCGGTGGCTGTCATGGACGACTGACCATGACTGCGCGCGCCACGGCACGACCTGGCCCCCCATACACAAAACACCAGGATTTCACACAACGGGGGTTGAACGGCGTGTCTCTCACATGCGTGAGAGTGCCGTGGAAGGTGCTGCTTCAGCCCGTCCCCAGCCCACCAGTCCGCCACTCCACGCAACACACACACACAACGCGACGAACTGCGTGAACCGAGGGCAGGCGTCAATCAGCAACCTTCCTGTTCACGACGCTTGACGTGTCGGGATAGTCTCGGACTCAAGTCACCCGTGCAGCCGAAGCCGCATGGGGACCGAGTCGAGTTGCACACTTCCCACTATGGTGGGAGGTGGCAGCTGGGTGCATGAGGTTTGTGAGTGTTGATGTCTAGTGGGGTGATGGTGGTGGTGGTAGGTAGGGAGTGAGTGAATGTGTGGTGTGGCCGGCGGTTGTCTACCGCAGGTCGTCGTGGATACGCATGTGGCCGAATAGGCCCATGCGATGCCTGAAGGTGCGAAGGCAGTGTGGGCAGTTGAGTCGAGCGTAGTGGGTATAGGTTGGCGCTCCAGGCACTGGTTCGCCAGTCTCTGTGCGATGGATTCGTAAGTGACCGATCAGGCCGATGCGTGAGGTGAATGTGCGTGGACAGTGTGGGCATGAGAAGTCGGCGGTGTCAGTGTCAGCTACAGAG